GGGGGGGGGGGGGATAAGAGTTAACGAATAACATTTTATTCGGGTACCGCGATATCTGATGACTCACGTAAACACGTCGTTTAACGGGCGCAAATATGGGGGGCATGGACGAATTCGCGTCGCGTTCGTTCGACAAAACTGAGCCGAGGTCACACGAGGTCTATGAACCGTGCGGATTCGAAAGTGGATCGGCCTGCAAAACAGTTGAACCCAGAGGGAAACAGCGATATCGTAAAACGACATAAACGAGAGGCGTTATACAACGCGGGGATAAAGGCTTAGGCCTCTTTTGGGCTGCGCCGCGTGGGGAGGTTATTCAGAAATCGTGGAATCCAAAGCCAGCGAGAGGCTCTAGGAATTCGAGATAGACCCCTCGTAACACGTAGTCGTTCCGACGGATGGGCCTCTTCGTAATTCGGGTTGACGGAGCAATGACCATTTACGCAATCGCCAACCGTGCACACACCCTCGCGCCGCCTATCCGCACGACGGCTGCTAGGCTGTCGGTCGGTGCCGACGGTGTCGCAACGGGCGAAAGTGGCCGTTCACCGTTTGAGAAAGTACGACAATAACACCCGAGAGACTAAGTGTAGCACGTTACTCGCCGGGGAAACAGAAACGATCCGTGCTACAGCCAATTCGAAAGTGTTACATGTATATTACGTACGGGTAATCGGGTAAATCGTTTGATGATTCGTAGACGCCACCGCCAGGTGGAGGCAGTCGCGCGGCACGTAAGCCGAACTCGTGAATGAAGGAGAATAATAAATAATCTCATGAGCCCTTCTGTCACGCAGCCAACTTCTTGCCGGGGTCAATAGTCGGTCGTTGCTCGGGTTCCGTGGCCGCGGTTCTGTATCGTAGAAATATTACCGCTACTCGCCGCCTCTATATCCCCGTACTGTTGTTTACCGCCTCTGGTGCTCTATTGCCTTCCTATTTATTCCGACTTGAGAACAGCGTTTGGGGAGAGTGGTACGTCAACGCTTCGCTCGATTTCTTTCCTCGAGCGCGACCTGTCCGTTTGCTTTAGCTTCGTAGTATCTCAATTCGTATTTCGTTTAACCGTCGTTCCACTCTGTTATGCTCGGTCGTGTTTCTGTTCCGCCCTACGGCGATGCAGATCCAGGAGACGCGGCGAGCGACTGCGAAGCGCCGTGGCGTGGCGCTACGCTCCAAGCGGAGACCTCGCGAACCTTCGTCTCTCGGCGCGCATAACTATACCAGCTATCCACTCTGGGGGGATTCCCCCCATTCCCCGAACCGTCCCCGCCTATCCAGCCTCACGCTCCACACTCCTGCACGTATCTCAACCGAATACCCCCCACCAACGAGCCTCGCGACGGTTTCTCCTTGCTCCTTCCCCACCCGGTGTCTGATCCTCATTGTCTCTCTCCGTTACGCCAGCCAGGCTACCTGACGAGCGCGCATGCTCCTGCACTCCCGCTCAAATCAAGTACGCGAGCCCCGCCAATACTTGGACTTTGCGCAGATAACGTGCCACGAGACTTTACGATATTCGTCACCACGTGCGATATCTTTATCTTTTTTCCCTCAGCCCTCGAAACATTCGACTTTGTTCCCGATCGCGTCGGACTTTTTTTTGTCTGCGGCCAATTCTTAACCGTCCTTCGAACTTCCTGCTACGATTTGGCTCGCGTACAGGCACGTTAGATAGTGTCGGTCCGAGTGCCCTGGCTCTTAGGAACGTTAACCGAGGGTGCACCTATGGCTTTACCATCCCCTTCCCCGTCCTCTAGTCTCCTTCCCATTTTCCAACCTAACACAACCTAAGCACAGGGACATCTGCGCACATGCAAACTCCGTCGTCGTCGCGGCGGCTTATCGTGCCGCCTTCTGTCCCTACAGTCGTAGCGTGCTGTATAGTTATATAGGTCGGCGGTACGCCTCGGCGCGGCTGTCGCTGAAACCAAGTTCAAGGCCAGAAGCGTTAGCAAAGGCCACAATCGCGTCGGGTGGAGTGGGGGGTCGTTGATGGGCGAGTAAGTGGGGGGCTGTTGAACGCAACTCGCGGAACGTCACTCAGTCGGCGGTGATGCTGTCTCGCGATTGCACGTGCACCGTGCCGTGTCCCGCCTTTCTTCTACGTTTCTAAGAGACGCGTTCCCGTGCTTCGAAGGAGTGACTTACTGTTATCGAGTCAGCCGTTGTTAGCGAATGTCGAAGGTTCGTTCTCGCGATCAGACTCGACTTTACGAAGCCAAGGAGAGTAGGGTCACCTCGTCGAGTAGTGATTGTGCGTGCGTTGGGAATGTAATTGTTCGAGGAATCTTTGGAGATTCTCAAGTGCAGTGTACTACACGGTATAATACGCGTTTAATAACACGCGAGACACAACGGCATCGGTCAAAACGGGATTTAAAAGCAGCGCAGCTCCTGCCCATCGTCATGGGAGACGAGTTACCCATACTCAAAGGAATCCTTAATGGAGTTGTCAATTACCACAATGCGCGTAGGTCTACTACTTATTCACTTTTTTTTTTTTTCACGTTGAATTACATCGTGCATTTCGTCGATAAATTTTTCTTTTTTTTTTTTTTTCACGTTGAATTACATCGTGCATTTCGTCGATAAATTTTTCTTTTTTTTTTTTTTTCACGTTGAATTACATCGTGCATTTCGTCGATAAATTTTTCTTTTTTTTTTTTTTCTTTACTCGAACGGTCCATCCTCCGACGGACTGATCGACTTTATTGCTCGGACTTTCTAAGCAAAGATTCGTATATTCGCGCGATTACTGAAGACTTTCATCTCCGACGAGAAAGTTCGTTCCTACTTTCCCCTTCGCAGAGACCTCGCGGAACGAAAATTGTTTCGCTTGGACATTTTCTCTTTGACTTCGTGCACTAGATATCGCATTCAGGGTCTAGTCACTCGAACGCGTCATCACTTCTTTACGCAGCCGTGATTCATTTATTGACAAAAATCTCTGCGCTTCGTTATGCTTCGTCTCTTCGTGAATCTTTATGAACATTGTGACAGTCAATTGCCGCGATGGGTGCGTGTCCTCTGTGCGGTGATTTTAATTTTTTTTTTCCTTTGCTTTCTGATTACAGCGGTTCGATTCGGCCGCGTGCCCAAACGTGAAAAAGCACGAATTCTCGCTGCCATGCAGCAGAGCTCCCACAGTCGTTCCCAGGAGAAGGCCGTTGCGGCCGAACTCGAGGACGAGCAACGACTCCTGGCTACCGTGGTGCGCGCACATCTAGACACTTGCGACTTCACCAGGGACAAGGTCGCACCGGTTCTTGCCAGGGCTCGGGAGACACCGAACTACACTGCGTGTCCGCCAACTTTGGTTAGTATCTTTTTTTTTTCCTTCCTTTTAATTGACTCATTTGAATTTTTCGTCTTCGCGGTCGTTACGTAAGAACGATGCGTACTCGGTGGCGCGGGTGGACGTTGACGCGATTGAAATTTTAAGTATTTACACAAGGTGGTTTCAGTCGGGCCTTGGGATTCTATCGACGTACATACGGAAACGCGCGTGGAACCGGGCGACCTCGAGTCAACGACGAGGAAGCTCTTTGAGAGTTTTGCTGAAACGTCGACTCGAGGTCGACTTCTGATCTCTCGAGTTCCTTCTTTTTTTTTCTTCCTTGTTTAGTTTATCGTCTTTACGACCGTCTTAATAGAATCCGTCGACCTTAAGCCGCGTTTTCGCTCTCGAGGCCGATGACTCATTCTAATCGTGATTTCCTTTGCTTTGTATGATTTCAGGCGTGTCCCTTAAATCCAAACCCCCAACCTCTGACCGGTCAGCAGGAGCTCCTACAGGACTTCTCGAAGCGGTTCTCGCCGGCGATCCGCGGCGTCGTCGAGTTTGCCAAGAGAATTCCTGGCTTCAGCCTGCTGGCTCAGGACGACCAGGTTACGCTACTGAAAGCTGGGGTCTTTGAGGTCCTGCTCGTGAGGCTGGCCTGCATGTTCGACGCTCAGACCAACAGTATGATATGCCTGAACGGCCAGGTGCTGAAACGCGAGTCCATCCACAATAGCAGCAACGCGCGCTTCCTCATGGACTCCATGTTCGACTTCGCCGAGAGGGTCAACTCCCTGAGACTCTCCGACGCCGAATTGGGCCTCTTCTGTTCCGTCGTCGTGATAGCTGCGGACAGACCCGGTCTACGTAACACCGAACTCGTCGAGAGGATGCACAACAAATTGAGGAACGCTCTGCAGACCGTTCTCGCCCAGAATCATCCTCAGCATCCGGACATCCTACGAGAGTTGCTCAAGAAGATACCTGATCTCAGGACGCTGAATACCCTCCACTCGGAGAAGTTGCTGGCCTTCAAGATGACCGAACAGCAGCAACAACTCCAGGCTCAACAGGCACAACACGCGTCCTCCCAGCCCCAGGGCCACTGGCCCATGGAAGAGGAGCAAGCCGCTTCCTGGGGATCGGCCTCGGACGTGACCCTCGACGAAGCCGTCAAGAGTCCTCTGGGTAGCGTCTCCAGCACGGAGAGCACGTGCAGCGGCGAAGTGGCCTCCCTCACGGAGTACCATCACGCTGCCGCACCGGCTGGTCATCATGCATCCAGCGCGCCCCTCCTAGCCGCCACTCTGGCCGGCGGTCTCTGCCCGCACAGAAGACGAGCCAATTCCGGGTCCACGAGTTCCGGCGACGACGAGCTGCATCGCGCCAGTCTCGCGAAGACGCCGCAGCCGCCCCAGTGCCCGCGTTTCCGTAAGCTGGACTCGCCCAGCGACAGCGGCATCGAGAGCGGCACCGAGAAGCCCGACAAACCGGCCAGCAGCAGTGCCAGCAGCGCGCCCACGTCCGTCTGCTCGAGTCCGCGATCCGAAGACAAGGAAGTCGAGGACATGCCCGTTCTGAAGCGCGTACTTCAGGCGCCGCCGCTCTACGACACGAATTCCTTGATGGACGAGGCCTACAAGCCGCACAAGAAGTTCCGGGCTCTCAGGCAGAAGGACAGCGCCGAGGCTGAGCCGGCCGTCATCCAGCAGCACAGCACCCAGTCCCAGTTGCACCTTCACCTGACCTCACCTCCGACCAGAAGTCCATCGAGTCAGCCGATCGCGGTTTCACAGTGTCCGCAAACCGGAAGTCTGCTCAGCAGCACCCACTCGACCCTCGCCAAGAGCCTGATGGAAGGGCCCAGGATGACGGCGGAGCAGCTCAAGCGAACGGACATAATTCACAACTACATAATGCGTGGCGAGGCTAGTCCAAGGTCACCGACTGCGTCCCCGTCTCCCGCGGAACAGTGCGCATCGACGACGACGGTCGCGGCCCGCTCCCCGCAAGGATCTCAGGGTCTGTTGCAGTGCGCTACCAGTGGGTACGGCGCCGCGACGGCCAGGTGGCCGGCCACCTCCGTCATAACGACGACGACGGGTGCGCGTCAGCAACAGCATCATCATCAGCATCAGCAGCAGCAGCATCAGCAGCAGCAACGTGAACAGTCTTCCTCGGAGTACATGGCGCCAGGGAGTTCGCCGGCCTCGTCGCCGAGGTATCTTTCCGCAGCGGCCACGAGTAGTACGGCCAGCACGAGTCCCAGACCCACCTCGAGCACCGCTGCTACCCTAGTGCTATCCGGGTGTCCCAGTAACATGATGGAACTCCAGGTGGACATTGCAGACAGTCAGCAACCGCTGAATCTCTCGAAGAAGTCGCCGTCGCCGTCGCCGAGGCCTCTGGTGGGACCGTGCAAGGCCCTGTCGCTCGAGGCGTAGTGCTTACGTGTACGCAAGACACTCGTGACAAATACCCACCTTACGTAGCGTCGCGACGTCCCTCGCGACGCCCTTTCCGCTAAGTTATTCTCCCTCGGGAAATACCTCAAGAGACATTACATCTCGCGAGAGTCGCTCGATAATGATTTTCGGGACTCTTTTGATGTCTCGTTGTTTTTCCTTTTTAAACGAAAACAAAAAGAAAAGAAAAAAAAATAAAAAATTATTGCTCCAAAGTCGAGGGAGAATGAGACACATGAGACTCGTGGCGCGTTGGGACGACGGCGCGACGCGATACAAAAGATTTAAAAGTGCCAGGACGCTCTGAGCGCGTGACAAACCAAATAATTTATTATTTAAACTAATAATGGTTAATCGACTGCGAAAGCTGACGAAAATGGCGAAGGAGGATTGGAAAGGAGGGATTTTAACGTGGAGGGAAACAAGAAACTATTACACTCTGACACTCCCACGTTTTCACTTTTTCCATCAATTTTACCTATATCATTGGACGTTTTAACGTAGTGCCGACTTTCGTGGGATTCGTGAGTACTCTTATATATCTCGAGTCTTTTGTTATTCTAGATATTTCTTTTTTTTTTTTTTTTTCGAGGGAGCAGAGTTCTTTTTTTCGTGTTCTCTTTCTCTCTCTCTTATTTTTTTCTATTCCGATTTTCCAAGTGCGACGGACAAATTTTTCCTACGGACGCTTTTTGGAAAGTGCCGTTGCTTATGCAGTGCTGTGTAGAACCTACCACCCCCCGTCCCCCCCCC